TTTGAAAGAGTAAAGAATCATGGTAAAAAATCCATGAAATCTATGTGCTGTATTCCCCTAGCGCTAGAGTTCTGCTGTTCTCATTGATCAGTAAACTTGCTCTTGGCAGGCTGTTCTTGATGATCTTCTGGGGGAGGGGCCTGTTGCCGTGGTTCCCAAATGTCTTTGCCGTAGGCGGAATTGACCCACCCTTGTGGGTACATGCTAAGTAATCTGCTCCGGATTGCTCTTGGGAGCTTTTTTCCCCTGCAAGCTTTTGGTACAGCTTTGGAGGACGAGAGGGAAAATGTCGGCCTCCCAATCTCTGCCCCAGAGGAGCCGAGAACTCGGGGCCCTACTCCTCAGTGAGCCCCCAGAGCAAAGCAGTCAGTGACTCCCGTCTCCCCGGTCTCTGGCCGCAGGTCGTGCTCACCTGGCCTGTAATTGAGCATTTCTATCTCTGGCACCTGACTTGGTGTAGAGTCTCCAAACCCATCAGATCCCTGTGGTGCGCTCCCGCGCCGCTGCTCCCGGGGGAGGAAGGGGAGTCTCCCCGGATCTGCCGCTTGTTGGGTCCCTGCTGGAAGAGCAGTGGCCTGACTGTGCCGCGGATCACAGTTTATGGCAACCCCGATCTGAGAGCCCGCACCTCGTCTCCGTCTCTGCAGCCAGCTTCCCTGCTCCGATACCTGGGAGGTCTGTCGCACTCAGGAACCCCCAGTCTTTCTGTGACCCCGAGGGTCCTGAGATCACACTGTCCTGCCAGGGTTCCATCACCTGCTTAGTCACTGGAGCGACGTCCCTCAGCAGAGCACACTTCTAAAAGTTCCGATTTTGTGCTCCGTGGCTCTGTCACTTGCCAGAAGCCGCTGATGGAGGCCCCCTCCCCTGCCGTCTATCCTCCCGAATATCGCCTCGGATTCACTTCTCTGCACGTCCTACCTTCCAGAATGTGGTCACTTTTCTCTTCAGAGAGTTGTTGCTATTCTTTTCTTTGATCTCCTGTTGAGTTCGTAGGTATTCAGAATGGTTTGATCCCTATCTAGCTGAATTCCTTAGACCAGACGAAATCCGGGTCTCCTACTCCTCCACCGTCTTGCTCTGCCCCCTTGAAAATTGATAGTTTTTTTATATGTTATTCTTGAATACTCTTTAGAAATTTTAAAAAAGTACATGCTTAATTACAATTAGTATCTTTGGAGGCAGCTTTTATAATTCTGAAAAATAAACTCATTCCTTTTATAATATTTTATGATACTAGCCTGTTTTGAAATTTTTTGTTTAAAAAATTTTTTTTTGAGAATTTTTTTTACCTTGTAAGTATATCTTTATGATTTTTTGTAATGATTTATTGTATTGTTTCTTTCCTTCAACTTTTGATTTTATAAATTCCAAACTTTGAAAAAAGTGAAAGAATAATACATGAATATCGAATTGCCTTTCCTCTAGATTCACCCGTTTTTGTTTTAAAGATTTTTTTTTTTTAAGATTTTTATTTATTTGAGAGAGAGAGAATGAGAGATAGAGAGCACGAGAGGGAAGAGGGTCAGAGGGAGAAGCAGACTCCCCGCTGAGCAGGGAGCCCAATGCGGGACTCGATCCCGGGACTCCAGGATCATGACCTGAGCCGAAGGCAGTCGCTTAACCAACTGAGCCACCCAGGCGCCCTTTTTTAAAGATTTTTTATTTATTTATTTGACATAGACACAGCGAGAGAGGGAACACAAGCAGGGGGAGTGGGAGAGGGAGAAGCAGGCTTCCCGTTGAGCAGGGAGCCCTATGTGGGGCTCGATCCCAGGACTCCGGGATCGTGACTTGAGCCGAAGGCAGACACCTAACGGCTGAGCCACCCAGGCGCCCCTAGATTCACCCGTTTTTAATATTCTACCACATTTGTTTGTATTTTCTTTCTCCATCTCCATTAATTGCCATTAATAATATTATCAAATATACATTGTGTGCGTGTATATATATATATATATATATATTTTTAACCTCTTTTCAAAGTGTTTTTTTATGGCTATATTTTTCTTTTCAGTTTTCAGATTTACGCTCCAGTCAGGAATCGCACGTTACATTTGGTCTTTATTTTTCTTTTCTTCCTTTAATGCAGAATAGTCTCCTGGCCATTTTTTACTTTTCAGGAAATATTGACTTTTTTAAGATCCCGTGTTCCTTTTTTGTAGATTTCCTACCATTTGGATTTGTCTGATTGTTTCTTCATGATTAGATTCAGGTTAAATACTTTCGGTAAGAATACTACCTTGGTGATAAAGATGCATATTTTGGAATTTGCTCTGTGATTTCTAGGAGATTAAAACTAAAAAATGGAATATTTCATTCCTTCCCCCTTACCGCACATCAGCCCAACTAAATAAAATTGAGGCAATCAAAGAATCTGCAGTTATTGGAACATCAAACTTCAAATTTTTGACCTGATATTTTTCATAGTTTGGCAAGCTTAGTTTTTTTAAGTTACCACTTTGATTATAAGAAATGCTAGTCTACTAGAAGAGCACTGGTCTGGATGGTAGGAAATGGGTGCATGAGATACGATTTGTTTTACTCATTTATTTATTTAAGAAATACTATTGATCATGTCCTCACATTATACAGTTGCTATGTGTGAGAACTGGATTCCAGTGTTTATTGCATTTGGCCATTAGGATGTCATTTACTTTTTTCCAGAGCAGGTATAGTAGTAGAAACCTCATTATAGTCAATTGAGGAATAAAATAAAGGAGACAAAGTAGAAAGACTAAATGCATACCAGTCCTTGGCTTAGTTGTAGAATTGAGGGAATTTCTCTTCTCTCTTCCCCTCCCTACCTCCCCTGTTTCTCTCTTTTTCTCCCTTTAAAACCTAGGCTGATGGTAAGGAACTGCTAGAGAGGTTGAGACACAGAGGGAGAGGAATAACTAGCATTGTACGATACTGGAAGATGGGAATAAGAGAACACAGCTGGAGCAATAAGCTTTAGATAGGTGAAGCCGTACCATTTGATTTAAGAGGAAATGTATACAAATGGATAAGTGAAGGTATATAAGGAGAGAGAGAGGGTTAGGTAGTTGAAGGGGTCAGGTGGCCTTTATTTTTACTGATATAAAGAGTTAACTTCATCTGCCAAGAGTGAGTTTAGGTAAGAGATTTGAAAAGAGATGAGGGTTTGTAGTTGACTAAGGATAAGTAAAAGAATTGATGAGTCATTTTGAGAGCCTGAGAATGGGTTTAATTGACCCAGTTCTTCACTTCTGCATTTTCCTCCCCATATGAAGAGGTTGAATTGAATTGTGTGGAAGTTGGGTTGAATTGAAGATTAGAGGTTTGAAGGAGCTGTGGGGTGAAGGGTTAAGGGTGGATGGGAATTTAGGGTGCTAATGAGAGGGCAGTGAAATGATTGGTAGTCTGTGGAGAAGAGGCACACGTGTGCAGGAAGAAATGATAGACTCAATAAAGTAGAGGAATGGGGCATGGTTTGCTTTGATAAGGTCAAATAATAGGTTAGGGATAGGAGGTTACAGCCAGAGATAGATCAACATTTAGTTTCAGAGATGGAATAAGTGTGAGTAATGATGAGGTCCGGGTTAAGGTAACTGGAATGGATTATTGGGATGAATGCAATTGTATTTGTTTAGGGGAAGAATAGTTGAGGTATGCACATTATATAAATTGTGCCTTGAAATTGCCAGGATAATGGCAAGATTTGTGTTGGTAAGGTAGAAGGATCTTAGAGCTTAAGGCTTCATTGATTATGGAGAGTGAGGAAGAAATGGGTTCAGTAAAGAACATTACATTCTAGCACAGCCAGATGGCATTCCTCTCAAAGAGAAGTGGATTTTACGCAAATGTGGAGGAGTTTTAGCCTGGAAGCGGCTAATAGGAGAGCTAGGAGAATAAGGACTCTCCTCTCTCTGTTGTGTGTGTTAGGTGTTAGAGAAGGGCCCACATTCATTAGACTGGATTTTATAGAGCAAGTAGTTCCAGCAACAGAAACTAAACTTTATGCTATTAATGACTAGGAGGTGCAAGACTATAGAATTTTTTTTAAATTAAAGCATGAGGGTTTCTTTTTCTTTCTTTTTCTTTCTCTTTTCTTTCTTTTCTTTCTTTCTTTCTTTCTTTCTTTCTTTCTTTCTTTCTTTCTTTCTTTCTTTCTTTTTTTCTTTCTTTCTTTCTTTCTTTCTTTCTTTTTCTTTCTTTCTTTTGATTTTATTTATTTATTTGAAAGAGAGAGAGGAGAGAGCACAAGCAGGGGGAGCAGCAGAAGGAGAGGGGGGAGCAGCAGAAGGAGAGGGAGAAGCAGGCTCCCCACTGAGCAGGGAGCTCCATGACTTGAGCTGAGGACAGACGCTTAACCGACTGAGCCACCCAGGCACCCTGAAAGCATGAGTTTCAAAGAGCCAGTGGAATTGATTGGAGTAAGAAAGAAGCAGGATGGGGCGCCTGGGTGGCTCAGTCAGTTAAGCGTCTGCCTTTGGCTTGGGTTGTGATCTCAGGGTCCTGGGATCGAGGCCCACGTCGGGGTCTTTGCTCAGTGGGGAGCCTGCTTCTCCCTCTCCCTCTGCCTGCTGTTCCCCCTGCTTGTGCTCTCTCTTTCTGTCAAATAAATAAAATCTTAAAAAAAAAAAAGGTGATAGATTGAGGGTTGAAAATACAGTGGAATATTGAGATAGCAGTTTCAAGACTCACTGTGACGGGGTCCCTGTATAATGTACGATATTTGATTAATTTTGAATGGGAGACAAGTATATTAGTGAAATTACTGAAATGTAATACATTTAGAAATGATAAAGGTAGCCTGACAATTTTATACTATTAAAAATGAAAAAGGGTTAATTCTGACTTGCATGTAACAATGTATCCACTGGGTGTCACTGTGGCTTCATATTTAGTTATACAAATAACTAGGTACAGGAGCTTTGTGTCTGTGGAGTCAATATTACATGGGTCTTCTGTCTGCTTATTTTTCCTTTTTGCAGTGAATTTGGTAGTATCTTTTTCTGTTTTTTTTTTTTTTTTAGGTACAGCTATTTATCACCATTGCAAATAAAGCAGATACCTATTCCTAAACTGGCAGCTCCAAACTGTCTTATCATTACTTGGGTGACCAATAGACAGAAGCACCTACGTTTTGTAAAGGAAGAACTTTATCCTTCTTGGTCTGTTGAGATAGTTGCTGAGTGGCACTGGGTAAAAGTAAGTTGAAAAATTAACTTATTTGTTAATATGGTGTGACATATAAGTCACATAAATGTAGCATCTAATTTTTAATACTTAATATGTCACTGCTCTACTCCTTCAAAACAGTCTATTTAAAACTTTTACTTTGATACTAAATACTTTTTTCTTTTTTTTGCTAAATACTTATATCTTATTCTCAAAGGCTTTTTACTTTTTGTTCTGTGTCTTTTTGTAGTAGAGTCTCAAACTGCTGGCCTTAGGAAATATTTGATTCAGGGAGATATCAGGATGACATTCTAAAAGCTCTGATGTCTGTAGTTTAAAAAACAACAAACAAAAACTTTGGAGAATCTATCAGGAAACATAGAAATAGTGTTGTCCTTCATCTTCTTGCTCTTTACGCGTCCACAATTTCAGTCACCCATTGTGGGTTCTTTCCTGTTTTGTTTTGTTTTTTTCTTTTTTCTTTTTTCTTATGTTGCTGGGGATGGGAGGGAGAATAGCTAAGTAACCCAGCATGGAAGAGGTGGAAAGAACCAAGAACCTTACGTACTTGAAATTTTAACTTAGGTCCTCAGTGCCTTATGTGTTGCTGTGCCTATTTTTGAAAGAAATGACTCCAACTCTTGGATTGGTTGAATGATCTTTAATATCTCTGTTTATTATAAGAACAAAAAAATACAGAAAAATAAAGCATCGGTTCAGAGTCCATTGGACATCCTTTTAAAGATGCATTGTCTACTTAGATGAATTTTGCAAAAGCCCTCCTACATTTAAAAAAGATAAGCCAACTTATCATCAGTTGAATGTTTAATATTTGTATAGCTGATACATTTATTTTAAACGGGAGAGTTCTGTTTTTATGTACTTTGTATGTATTTTGTGGTCTACTGGTATATCTTCTAAAAGGTGTGTATATTGTTTACTTACACCTATTTTAATGGACTTAGCAAACAAACATTAACAGTTGTATCTTTGCTTTTAAAACATACTTTGGGCTTAGCTTTGGTTGATTTGGTATATAGGACATTGATGGGAATATAAAACTCCATTCTACCCTGTACATTATAACAGTTCTTTTATTGTCAGAGATGGGGGTCAAAGTCAGGAAAAGGGTACCTTCTGAAATCAAAACCAGTAAAATGTTAATACATAAAATCTAAGACTACCCTATTCATTTTTAGTACTAATCCGTATAAGAGATGATATGATAAGCCCAGAGTTTAAAACAAAAATACAGTATGTTATATGAAACACTGTTAGGTACCTATATGTACTGTTATAACAGAAGGAGTAATTTGCATTGAATATAAAATATATCCAAATAATAAGAATTTACCTGTATTTATACAGCACTGTGTGGAAGAGATGCTGTCTCTCCTAGGCCCTAGAGGTGATAATAGGACTTTACTGATTTGGCTTTTTAGTTTTCTTGATATTTAGTAAAAGGTTCAATAGATAATAGATATGAATATTCTGATGGTGAAAATACGTATTTTAATGGCTAGTTTATAAATTGATATTGCTATTATAAATTGTGTTTTCAATTTGATTAGCTTTAAGTGAGTCTTTGAGAGTATGATCACTCCAGGATGAAATGACAAAATTGAATTTCTGGATTTATAATGCCAAGGGATTAGGCTAAGTATTGTCTATCTTATCAGTCTCTGAGCTTTTTTTTTTATTACTAATTCTAGCTCTGACAGTATTTAATGACACTGTATTCTATAAAGTTTAATAAGATATACTTTATTATAATCCACTTAGTCACGTTGCCAGTAATCCGTAAATTATTTGAATGAATAAATGAATTAATGATAACATGGTTTCAGGAATAAGTTTTAATGAAAAGTAGATTTTTATGTGTAAGATGATAAAGTGATATTTAAAATATTTTAGTCCCTTATAGCTGCTCTGTCCAAGTGATGCTCACTAGTCATATGTGGCTCTTTAGCACTTGAAATGTGGCTTGTCAAAATTGAATTGATGTTAAGTGTAAAATATACATTGGATTTCAAATACCTAGTATGAAAGAAAAAATATAACATACCTAAATAAATTTATTACATATTGAAATAGTATTTTGGATATGTGAGACTAAACTAAATATATAATTAAAATTGCTTACACATTCTTCTTACCTTTTTTAATGTTTAATGTTAGTAGAAAATTTAAATTACACACGTGGTTTGCATTTGTGGCTTACATTTATTTTTATTGGATAGCACTAGCCCAGAGGTTTAATTTCTTTCTCTTTGGCAGAAACTGTATAGTGATAGAAAAAAAGCCAAACTCTTTCCTGAATATTTACACATGTATGGTTCTATTTTGTTTTGTTTTTTTGTCTCCTATCAGATCACCAATTCAGGAGAATTTGTGTTCCCGTTAGATTCTCCACACAAAAAGCCTTATGAAGGTCTTATACTGGGGAGAGTTCGAGAAAAAACTGCTGTACCATTAAGGTGGGAAAGGTGATTTTTCCAAAATTGTATAAATGTATACAAAATTAATAGTATAATGATCATTGATTTTCCTTAATTTTTACATTTTTGAAAATCTGAAAATGGCCCAGACCAGAAAAGTGTGAATGGTATGGTACATGAAATTTTATATTATCTTTTATCTAGTGTGTAATTGTTGAAGTCATTATTGAAGAAAAGGAAATTTTTGGTAATGTCTCAATACTTAAATTGCTGATTTATATTATTGCTTCTATTCTTGAATTTATTTTTAAGTTCAGATTCTATTTGAAAGGTGAAAAAAAGGCAACTGTGACTTATATATGAAAAATTGTCCTTTAAAATAAAATTTACTTTGTTGTTTTGTTTTAATTAGGAGTGAAGATGTAAAAGTACTTCCCATTCCAGATCACAAGTTAATTGTCAGTGTGCCCTGTACTCTTCATTCACATAAGCCACCGCTTGCTGGTATGTTTTTATAAAATAGAATTGTTATGACTTCTGTCAAATTGAAGAAAGGATTGAATTTAGTATTTGAGTGGTGTAGAGATTTGGAAATTAAATTGGATGTTTTATTTTTGTTAATACTCTAAAATTTTACAGCAGAATTTATGAATAGTGTTTTTTATTTATTTTGTTACAAAAGCTTTATTGTTTTCATTTGGTCCATGATTTGAGAGAGGGCTTTATGATGGTTAAAGGGCTGCCTAGTGGTTGCAGGGAGAGGCACAGGCAGAAGCTCTGACATTGGGGGATGTAGAGGTGCCCGTCAAAGGCTGCTGGGCTCTGGAAGCTCCTAGTTGTGCTTGAGGATGAGCCTTTGGAAGAGATACTTGACTGGCCTGGCCCAGCCCAGGGCCATCCACCAGCCAACCTGTGGAGGTCAGTCAGGTGGTCACCCAAGTTCTTGATGAGTTTTGCCTCCTCATCTGGAAGTGGCTCTCCAGTAAGTCACACAGATGGGGATTTGTATGGGCAGAACCCAGAGCATACATATCCAGAAGGGCCTGGTTCAGGTTGTTCTTCAGGGCCGTGCAGCTTCCATGGCATCTACGGCTTTGCCTCACTTATTTTGGGAGGGATTCTTCATGTTTTGGAAAGGATGTGGCTGCCGCACTGGTTTTGCATCTTCTAAGAGATGCCTGGCCAACTTGAGGAAGAAGTGCCTAGGCCTTCTGGAGTCACATCGTCACAGTCCAAACAGAAGCCCTGAGAGGTGGATGTAAGAGGTCTGCAAATACAGGTTGACCAGACAGTTGACAGTGGCCTCCATCTTGGGAGAATAATTCTGAGGAATCTGGGAGCTCACCATTTGTCAGCAATAAGGAGCTAACCACAAAAAGTGGGGTTGGCTGGTCCTGGAGGTTGTTCCTGGAAAGGAGATTGGAAGGTGGTCGGAGGGTAGTCAGAGATTGGAAGAAGGGGGTCCCTGGGTCTGTCCCATCCAGAGACTGTTGAAAAAGATTATTGAACCACTGAAGCAAGAGAGAGGTTTGTGGGATTGCTGGCTATGCTGAATAGATTTTTATTTCACCTCTGCTTTTCCTTTTATACCATTTTTTTAAGGTTCCCCTTATTATAGATTGTTACTCCCTCACTGTCCTTGATAGACTGAAGACTGATGGGGCAGCTAAGGATTGTAATTCTACTAGGGGCTTTATTTCACTAAGAGGGCTCTATCCTTTGCTTGTTCTGAAACCAGGAGCTCAGAAAAGCAGTCAGAGAGAGATACTGAGAATCCCCCTGATACTTGGTAGAGATTCAGTTTTATGTTGAGGTAGTGTTGCTTTTCTGAACTATTGGAAAGGTAATTGCTGCAGCCTGGAATTCTTACTAGCCTTAATGCTTTATTTAGTATAATGTTCATCATTCAGTGAAACTAAGCAGCAAGGAATAATGGAAAGTTTTGGCTTTGGAGATTGACTAACATGAGTTTGAATCCTGGCTCTGCTACTTAATGAGTAACTCTATTTTTTACCTCAAAGTCCTCATTTAAAGAGAGACTAATGATATTTAATCTTTTAGAGTTGTGAGGATTGCTTATAATATATTTGAAATTCTGTAGTATATATTAGAAGCTCTGTAAATGCTAAATTTTTCAAGTGAGAGTTTAAAAAAATAGGAATGTAGGGGCACCTGGGTGGCTCAGTCGCTTAAGTGTCCGACTCTTGATTTTGGCTCAGGTCATGATCCTCAGGGTTGTGACATCAGGCCCCATGTCAGGCTCCTCACTGGGCATGGAGCCTGCTTAAGATTCTCTCTCTCTCCCTTTCTCTGTGCTCCCCCCCCAAAAATAGGAATGTAAGTCCTTGAGACATACTCAATTTGTGATTATTTCCTATTCAAAAAAATTTTTGAGGAATATTTTTTTTATTAATTTGGTAATCCTTGCTTAAAAAACCCAAAACATTTAAAAGCTGCCACTCAGGAAAACTACAGAGTCCCCAGCCTATCATATTATTTTGTAGAATATGGGCTAGTTCATGAGCTAGAATACATAGGAAAGTGAATACAGATTTCTCAAGGTAATTTTTATTGATAGCGCTTAGGATTTCTGTTATCTTAAATTACTTATGCAGAAGAGTTTGTAGTGTTACTTCATTTGAGAAATACTCAGATGTTTTCCTGATGATCCATTTTTGACTTAGAGGCATGCTGAGTGAATAATCATCTTTAAGCTTTGTACTGTCATAGACTCTTAATTGCATTAAATATTAGTGACTTAGTGACATTGTACTGTTCTTTGAGAAAAAAATTATGTTTGGTACCAGTATTCAATGGAGGAAATCTAATTTGTATCCTTCTAATTTGAATTTTCTCTATCATTTAGTGAGTATCAAAGCGTAATTTAGTGTTCGTCTTAGGGCTTATTTTTTTACTTTTAAAAATCTAAAAGCCAAGACCCAACCTTTCATTCTCAAATTATAGTTAAACTGTTTATTGATTCCTTTTACATAGGATGAAATTATGTTTAAAGATTAATCTTAAAAAACAAGGTTTTAAAATGGTAAATAAAAATTAGTCTTTTATTAATCCTAAGAAAAATCAGTCAGCCTGTATCTATGAAGTGCAGTTCTGCCATATTCCCAGTAGAGGGCAGCACAAACACAGTTTTTTTTTTTTTTTAGGATTGAGAACTTTTAAAAAAGAAAAGTTAGATTTTGCGGGGGGGGAATCCATATGACTTGATATGTAATCCTTATGTTTTGGTTAGGTAGTGGTAGACAAGAAGTATTTGTAACCCTATATTTTTGAATTTATGTTGCTATGTAGCAAGCACATATATTTTTAGGTATAGAGCTATACAAATTAAAGCCATCAAAAAACAATTTCTGCATTGTATTTTACTCTGAAATCCTAACTCTAGGTTTTAGGATAGTACATGTTCTATATGTAATGCTTAGAACTTTTACTTGTAAATGTTCTTAAACTGTTTTATGTAAATTGATAAAATGAAATGTTCTCTCTTTGGCTTCTAGAGGCACCAAGATTTTTTTTAAAAATTTAATTTTTTAATTAATTTTTTTATTATGTTATGTTAATCACTATACATTACATCATTAGTTTTTGATGTAGTGTTCCATGATTCATTGTTGCGTATAACACCCAATGCTCCATTCAGTACGTGCCCTCTTTAATACCCATCACCAGGCTAACCCATCCCCCCACCCAAAAAATTTTAATTTATTGCTACATTTACTCTGTTTTTAAATTTTGAAGTTTGCTGCTACAGATTAAAAGATAAGCCTTCAATAGCTATGGGGTGTAATCTAACAATTATAAATGTTTATAAAATTTAAAGATTTAAAAGTATTTGGATCAAAATTGTTTTTTATATTTTACCTTAGAGGAATTTCCACTCCTTTTACTACTTTACTCACTAACAGTTTCTAACTGAAGAGTAAAACACAGTTTGATAAGATTCTGTGCACTGGTGTTTGAGCCCCTTCTCCCCTAACCCTGCCCTTTGTTCCCAGAGCAAAAGGGGAATGACTGGCTATGCGTGGATTATTTCCTCTTCTTTGATTAGAAGCATGTTTTGCTAATGTCAGATGTTATATAATTATCTTAAGTATATGTATATGTCATATTCATACTTTATACATTTGAATTTACTTTTTAAAAATTGAGGTATAATTAACATACACCATTATATTAGTTTCAGGTGTACAACAATGATTTGATGTATATATATATATTGAGAAATGATCACCAATCACAATAAGTCTAGTTAACATCCATTACCACACATAGTTACAAAATTTTTTCTTTGTGATTAGAACTTTTAAGATCTCGAGTTTACTTTTAAACTGATATTTAAAATTAGTAAGAATAAAACATTTCCATTCATTTGCTTTTATTTCTTTTGCTTTGTTTTGAAATGTGGTTAACATTTTAAAAATATTACTCCTTGACTTTCTATTTTTGTCAACCAGAAAGGAAGAAAAAAAACATGCAGAAATGTGTTACATTGAGAAAGTAGGAGGTAGTAAATGGGTTTAGGTTTTATGTACTATATTTGTCAACTCCCAAGTGCCTGGCCATCTTTTTCTACTAGATTGTGTACTCTTAGAAAACATGGGTATCTGTTTCCTTTGTTAAGTTCCATAGTACTGATTATAGTGGATGCTCAGAATAGTAAACATTTTTGACTGGCTGACTCCCGCCTGTTAGACTCCAGATTATGGTTTAAGAATAGAGTTGCTACTGTATTTGTACCAAAACACTGAACAAACAAGCAGAAACAGAAAACCTTGCTTCATATAATCTTAGACCACATTAAAAGTGAATTGAGGTTGGTAAGGCATTGAATTCATGGAGAAAAAATGGAAAAGTGATATAAGTTTATTTTCCTCTAAGACTCTGGGGAAGTCTTTCTCAGGTTTAATAACATTTAATTATACACTTATGAAAGGACTAGAAGTCTCATGTTAGCATCACCTAAAAGCTATCAAAGCCCAAATTTGGGTTATAGACAATGAATGCTTTAAATTCTTTGATTTTTGATAAACAGGACCAATACTTTTATAGAAATAAACAGTTCTTTTGCTGAGAGAGTGATTGGAGAACATTATGAACATGAAATTTTTTATATATTTTCTTTTAAACTTTACCTATATCAAGTACTCCTAAGGAATACTTACTGTTCCTAAAGGGAATTCGATAAATTTCTTCCAAGCTTAATCTTGTATAGTAATTAAGAACTATATTTAAAAAGTGCTCTTCTAGGACTTTTCGTCCCTGAATTGTTATTTTCATACCCAGTTCCTGTAATGTGGTTAATATAGCTAACCAGCAATGATCAAGGTTAAATTAATCAGATTTAAATATTTGTAATCCAAATGAACATGTGCTTTAAAAAAAAGCTTCTATGGTATTTTCTGTTACTGTGTATCGTAGCATTTAGTCAACATATGTATGAGGTAGCTTTTTCCTGATAAAATACAATTTTTAGTAGTTATTACATTACATAAGGACTACTTGTGGAAATAATGTGAAATTTTAGGTAAAAAGGATTTATACTTTGGAAATGACGGAATGTGCTACCAAGTTATAGCTATGAGGGTATTGTATTTGTTATATTGTTCAATATTTTTATCGGTATCCAGTTCATTTACTCCTCTCTTGCTAATATATATGCTTGCAGAAACTTTTATCTGTTTTTTAAGTGGGTTATTTTTGTGTTGTTTCTATATACTTCTTTTTCATGCACAGATTACATTTATTAAAAAAATTAAGTTAGTACTCAGGAGATATGTCAGCAGTATTGGAAAACTGAAAAGTCACCTGTGAGGGTGTTAAAATTCTTATTTCTCATCTACAAATGAAAACTGATAATCAAGACTCCTGAAATTTCTGATGGTGTGTTTCTAGTCTCAGGAGTGGTTATTTCAAATGACTTCTAACTACAAATAGTAAAGCCTGTGATGAAATCCTTGAAATTAATTAGCTCTCCCCCCCTTTTTTTTAAGGAACGATTCCCGCTTTTCTGCTTTAAACTGCTAAAAGGAAATTGATTCCTTTCTTAATAATAATTTTTGTGTTTTTTCTCTTTTTTGGACAGAGGTTCTAAAAGACTATATCAAGCCAGATGGGGAATGTTTGGAATTGTTTGCTCGAAATTTACAGCCAGGTTGGACTAGTTGGGGCAATGAAGTTCTCAAATTTCAACACATGGATTATTTTGTTGCTCTGCAGTCTAGAAGCTGACTATGATCTTAAAGTTGTGATTTTCTTCACTTTTTCCTCACCCCTTTTTCCTTCATTCTGATATTGCCTTTTCTTACCAACCCGTATGCTTAGAAATGTAAACAGGACTTGGTTTTTCTGCCAAAGACCAGAAGTGACTAGTCTTTATGTAATTTTGAGATGAATTTACTTCAGTTGTACTAGTATTCCCCATTATTCTGGATTCGCTGCAAATAAAGAGGTAAGCAGTTAGAAAAATGACAAGACTTTGTTATCGAAAAAGTTCGGAGAGCACGCACTATGGACCAGAGGTCATAATTCTGCCTATGGATGTGTTTCATTTGGCCCATATGGTGTTATAAAAAAAAATTTGAACCATCATTCTGAAAAATCGGGAAATTTCACGTAAAGTGTAGATTTTCGCTTTTCTCTAAACATCAGAAGCTCTGGCTGCATTGCGGTCTGTATTCTTTCCTGGCATCAGTCAGTAGGGCCCAGTGGTAGCAGCTCACTTGGGAAGGGACATGGGCTCTGCAGTTTACCACAAAAACACTTGCTCCATGCCACTCACTTGTATTGTCTACGTGGCCCCTGTGCAACCCAAATTTATGATCTCTGGTATAATGTTACATTCTGGAAAAAATATTGAGAGACCTGCTGAGTACCTTATCATTGTACTGAGCTTTTGAAACCTTTTTGGAGGGTTTTAAATTGCGTTCAAGTTCACTTTTCAAGTACTTCTTAGTTTTGCTTGGTTTTCTAGAAGATTTAAAAAGTATTTCTTATAAAAATGTCAGAAGATGGGGCGCCTGGGTGGCTCAGTCGTTAAGCATCTGCCTTCGGCTCAGGTCATAATCCCGGGGTCCTGGGATCAAGCCCTGAGTTGGGCTCCCTGCATTGCGGGAAGCCTGCTTCTCCCTCTCCCACCCCCCTGCTTGTGTTCCCTCTCTCACTGTGTCTCTCTTTTTCTCTGTCAAATAAATAAATAAATAAATAAATAAATAAATAAATATCTTAGAAGATAACACTGCTTATGATTTAAAAGATATTTATATTATTTACAGATTTCCCACAAATATTTTTTTACTAAGTAAAATATTTTTTACTGAAATGATTCTTTGAAAAGCATGCTGATTTGTTGTGTATAACCTTTTTTAAATTGAGATACAATTTCACATAAAATTCTCCAATTTTTACTATAGGATTCAGTGAGTTTAGAAAATATATACTATGGTTGTTTGTCTACCACCATAGTCGTGATATAGAACATTTTCTTCACCTCCAAAACTCATGTGTCCAATTACAGTCAATCCCTTCCTCCCATCCCTGGCATTTGGTGAACAATGATTTGTTTTCTATCATTAGTTTTGTTTTCTTAGAATTTCATATAAACAGAATCATAGAATATGTAATCTATTGTATCTGGCTTCTTTCACTTAGCATTTTGACAAAAGTATTTATATCATTTACAGCTTTTCTACAAATATTTATCTGCTAAATAAAATGTTAGGTTGAGATGGTTATCTGACAGGGTTGCCAATTTGCTTACTGATTTTACCAATGAAAAATGTTATTTTTGAAGTTTGTTCATTTTTTGAGTGTGTGAATGTATATTATTATAGGCTTAACTTTGTATTTATAGGGATATTCTTGTTATTGAAATGAAAAAAAGCATTAAACTTGAAGCAAACATCTCACAACCTTCTTTGAAACTCTTTCCAGTCTCTTGTACTATTTATAGGTTTTATATAATTTGTGGAAACGTTTTATTCTCACCAAGTTTTTGGACTTTTATTTTTGCACCACAAATACTGATACTTGAGAGAAAAAGAGAAAATTTTTATTCACTGAATGTGGTATTCAAGACACAGAGGGTTGGTTTTTTTTTGTTTTTGTTTTTTTTTAGACACAGAAGTTGTAGTCTTAGCTCTGTTCCTAAGTTGTACAACCTGTGGGCCTTGTTTGTAATACCTGTTTAATTATTGGGCTCTTTTTTGACCAAAAGATCATTCTGGAAAATGGAACAATCACATACCTTGTGAGAACAAAAAGGCCAGACTAAGAGCATTGAACTTTGACTTCATTACCCCTGAGTTTTAGCCAACTGACCTAATGAACTTTATTATTCATTTAATGTTATATCTTCATTCAGAGATTTTTATATTGCTTTTTAAACCTGTAAGGATTTTATTTTCTATATTTTTTTTTACAGACCTAAAGTCTTTTAGGACTCTTGGAAATGCTTAGACAAAGGGATAGAGCTAATGTTTGTTGAATAGTGTGTGTTACTCTTTGCTATGCTTTTTACATTTTATTGCATTTAATCCTTGCACAGTCCTGAGAGTATTATCTCCATTTAATAGTCAAGAAAACTGAGGCCCAGGAGACTATTTTGTCCTCAAACCTATAGTAGGTATTGGAACTAGGATTAGAATGCACAGCTCCCTGACTTGTAGCCCATCCCTAGAGTTTGGTTTGATTTGGAGGCCATGCAATCACAATTGGCATCCTGAGCAACCACACAAAAAGCCATTTCACCTGCACATGGTTAATGGCGGACATCACACTCGAGAAACTTTGGGGAATCTTGCCTCATAAGATTGTATCCTTAGAATTTCATGGCCTTTCTCTTGACACTCTTACACCTTCCCATTCAGGGTCCATTAGAGTAAAATCACAGAGCATGTAACTACTCTTTTGGAAGCAGATCCTCTTTAAGTTGGTCCTTTTTGTCTTCCTTTCTTAGAAACGGGAAGTAATAATTCTTATCTCTTAAGTTGTTATGAGAATTAAATGAGTTAACACATGTAAGGCACTTAGAACTGTACTTGGAATATTTTAAGCAATCAGTGTCTGAACTCTTCACATAATTTTTAGTTTCAGGTCAAAAAGGTTTTCTTTCACAATTTGTACTCCAGTTTGGGGGATTCACCTGCATATTGTCCATAGAGTTTTTCTGTCTGAACGTCATATTTTCTTGATCTTTTTCTTGAGATCAGATTTCCTAGCTTGCACCTGGTTTCATACATGAGGAAGCTTTGAAATCCATCATTCCCATTGTGGTCCTGCCTGGAAACAGATAATTAAAAACAAAACAAAGGCCACATGTAGCTTAAAGGATTTCAACTCTTGACTCTGAACTTCATAGTTACTGTACATTGTTCTTTGATGACTTCCATAGGTGGTTAATTGGTGGCCTTTCTGATGTTTCTTCTATATTCAGAGACTTTAGGCTCATGTCACATTAATTTTGGTTCAAAATAGATCTTTTACACTTTGATGGATGATCTGTTACACTTGCAGGACCTTGATTTTTATGTGCAACAGCTGTGGACTGAATGTATCCTCCCCAAATTCACATGCTGAAACTCTAACCCACAATGTGATGGTATTTAGGGGTAGGGCCTTTGGGAGGCAATTAGGGTTAGATTAGGTCATCAGTGTCGGGGGGGGGGGGGGGGGGCTCTCATAATAGGATTAATGGCTTTATAAAAAGAAACATGGGATCTCACTCTCTGCATGCAAGCACCAACAAAAGGCCAGGTGAGGACATAACCAGGAAGATGGCTCTTACTGGGAACCTGACCACGCCGACACCTGCTCTTTCTGAACTTTCAACTTCTGGAACCCCAAAGAATAAATGTTTATTATGTAAGCCACGCAGTCTATGGTAATTTGTTATAGTAGCCTGGAACCACCAAAGAAATTTTCTCATTGATAAGATACCCACCAAGTAAATAAGGCCTTTTTCTTTAGATGGTCTAAAAGTGAGAATAGGTTTTTCTTCTTGTATGTCAACATTTGAGCTCCCTCAAAAAAGCCAGTGTCGCTGAGGGCTGGTTGTCTTCTTGGAGGAGGACAGAGAGATTAGTCTGTGACTTAGGTCTGGGCCTGGCTTTAATTGCTACCTTGCTCTGTCCTTGCTGTAGGCTGTATCTACCTTGTCCTATTCTAATCCTTCAAATTCTATGACTCAAACTCATTCTTACCAGAAACCCCAAATGCACCTTTTCAGATTTGGTACCCTAGAGACATATCTTTAGTGAATTTTTATACATTCAGCTTCAGTGAAACTTTGGGTTTTCTACTGATGGTGATTCAGAGGAGGATTATAAACACATTAAAGGCCCTCCCTTCCCTGAAGATGCTCACCAGTTCACCTCATTTGACTTCTATCATGCACCACTGGCCTACCACACCCTGGGAAGCACCACAGCACTGTTGGCATGGTTCTCTGGTTATCAGAGTTCTTTTACTTCAGTTATGTCATTTTACCCTCAAAGCAGTTTTATAAAGTTGTAGTTATAATGAGGGAACAGGTTCATAGAGGCTAGCTGACATGGCTAATAAGTGATAACCAGGACTTGAATTCTGATTCCTAAATTAAGGCACTTGATGTTGTATCATGTTTGCTAATGAACCTGAGATCTTAATAATAGGCTCATTAGCTGCTAATCAGAGGATCCAGTGGGTAGCCTGAAGTAACTTTAGAATGGTTCATATATAATCATCCAAACATACCCTTCTCAATATATATTATCAGTTTTAAGTTATTAACACAATATTTTCATTTTAGTGACATTGATTGAACTGATAGCCGGAGTGCCACTCAGAATCACTCAGAATCAGATGGGCTGTGAAATCCTTTGACATAAGCTGTTAGCATATTTACCATGCCGTTATGTATTCCTCAGATTAGCCATTTTAAGTTCACATTTTTAAGGAAACTCATGCAAAATACAGATTTGGATTTGAAGATGGCTATTCAAGTAGTGAGAAAGGAGAGATTAAATAAGGTAAGTACAGGTGCAAATTATTTTATGTACCATAGTAATCTGTTACCAGTGTTTGGATGTATGGACAAACCCAGAACTACATAGATGGCCTTAATTCATGGTTCCATTGACTAGTCTGCTCCAGCTTGAAAGCAAGTCAGATTACCATGATAACTCCACAACCAGCCTTTTCCCTTAAATATTCCTAGGAGTTAACCTTAATCTTCTGGGACTTCTGTGAACTTGAGGGGAACCTCTTGGTCTTTTTCAGTAGCAGTCCAAGTCC